CGATTGAGTCGGGAAATGGGCCTATAGTTTGCTGGTAAGAGTGAGTCCTTATCTGGTTTAGGTAGTAACGCTATGGTAGCTAAGGACATGTCCCGGTCTGGAGTGCCCCACTCTCTAAGTTCCCTGAATAGCTTTAGGAGGAGAGGTATGAGTTCCTCTCGGAATGTTTTGTAGTACCCTCTATCGAAGCCGTCGGGCCCGGGAGCTTTGTTCCCTTTAAGTGCTGTGATAAAAAATATTTATAACAAAAAAAAATTAGTGAATGATATTCGAAATGGAGTTTGGCTGGTGGAAAATGCAAGGTATAACAGAATGTTACTCGTAAAAAAAGTATGGTTTTAACCCACAAATTTATAAATTACTCATAAATTCTTATTTTAAAACCATCCAACAAGGACAGGCCTGTGCACTACAGCTTTACAAGGAAGTGGCATAATAATATATATGCATATTTCCAGTAAGTCAGCAAATACTTAATAAATAACCACAATGGTTTGTTTTTTCAGTCTCCCCTGAGATGAAATGTAACCATTCATACATAACTCAGACTCAATCACGTAAAAACAGATAGTGTCCCATTATTACGCTACAAGTGAAAGATAATTTATTTAACCAAATAGGAAGACATTAAACAAAAAGTGTGAAGTTCTGAAGAAATTTATTTTTTTCTCCTAAAACCATAGTTTCTTCCATAAAGTTAAAGCAGGATAATATAGTGCTAATAGGCATGTATGGGATTATTTTATTAAGAATGTGTATGATTTGTAGTGCCTTAATTAGCATTTGGCCAAGAAAACATAATTACAATGATACCAGCTTTCTTACTACATATGTCCTTATTACATTGTAACAGATGAGAAAATCATGACAAGTACACATAATATTGTGAGCAGCAGTCTGGACTCATATTCTATAGAAAATTCTTCACCCATGCATGAAGCGCTAAAAACCTAGATATATGAATTTATTAAATAGAGAATCCAGATTTAAGAAAAGTGAATCCAGATTTAAGAAAAGTAAAGAAATGACCTCATCTAAATACACACAGATCAGCAGCATAAATTGCATTTTTCTTCTGCGAGAATAGACTGAAAAAAATTTATAATAAAAATGTCTCCCATCAAGCAAAAAAACCCCAACAAACTGAATATTAGTTTTCTAGGACCACCACGGACTATGGCTCTTTTGCCTTCACTAGCAAATGGGCAGGGATAACAAACCTCCTAATAACTAGGATTACACTGCCAAGACCTCCCCTCACTCTAAAGGCAACAGGGTGGAATACTACACATACCAATCTATTACCCCTCTTGAACTAATAGTGTCTATCCCACTAAAATATATAGCATGGGTGTGCCCAACCCTCTGTGACTAAATGTCGTCATATACACCAAAAAGTAAGATAGGGTCAGGCACATGCTCTTCTAAGGCCTAACAACCAGAAATGTAAATTCCTATCTGCAACTAGATTTTGCAGTCATAAAAAAACATTTCCAAATGCTTTAGAATTATTTCAAGTATATAAAATCTGTCTAAACTGGCAAGCTGAAACACCTGGAGTTAAATCCACTAGGGGAGCAAGGGTTTAAAAAAAAAAAAAAAAATTACTCACCGACTGCCCAAAGAAGCCATCTGATGGGTTGTGGAGCAATTGTGTCCTATAATGTTTTATATGGACATTGCAGTGTGTATGCGTTTCTTTAAGGTTGCTCTAAAAGTTATTATTCACATGCATCTATCTTTTGTTTGCTAGTTTATGTTGCTTATACATGCCATTAAGTCAAGATAGGTGTTTGTGATGTTCTTCCTAATCATGTGCAAACAGTAATACTTGATGGTATTGGTCATTTGTTAAATAAAGTGTTTTCAAGTCTTTTGAGGTGTTTTTGGTGACCATATCATTGGTTTCCCCCAGATTAAATTAAGAACTGCTTAGGCCTCCAGTCTGCTTCAGATTTGGTGCGGGTTAGAGCAGGTGGGTATTAATAAGGGCTTTGTTAATTGCTATGAATGGTCCTGTGCTCCATCACTGTGTGCATCATAGCAGGTACCATCCCAGGTACAAACCACTTTAAACATACCCTCACATGGTACTTCTCGATGACTCAGAGCACCAAAGTCTGGCAGATGATAATCCAGTCCCAACTGAACTATCTTGGGCTGTTAAAACAAACACAAAAAATTACTAAAGTGAAAAATAATTAGCTTAAATAAGATGCTGCTTCCCCAGTGGTATTTCCCAGCTTACCACCTCTTACACAGCACAATCCAAAAACAAAATTTGGTAATTAGCTAGGAATGTAAAGATGAAAAAAAAGAAACCAAACTTAGTGAAGTATAGTTCCACCACTCGATTTCATTTGCGATCACAAGTTTACGTGGCTTCGCCTATTCATGCTAAAGTGAGAGTTCTAGGTGAATTCAAAATGAATTTTAAATTTAAGGCTAAAATAAATAAACTGGAAAAATCCACCCAGTCAGCTCTGCTTGCAGTTGGACTATTTTAGCCTTAAATTTTACATTTACTTTGAATTCTCACTTTAGTGAATAACTGACTACTGTTCTTTGGTTCAGTGTAAGTAACTTAAAGGGACTTTGCTTTATCTTAGAAACACCCTTTTTAAAATAAATAAATTTAAACCTATACCCTCCAGCCTGTCATTGGAATAGTGAAGTAGACTCACCTTCATGCTGACTTAGTGCAGTAGATCTTTGTGCTTGTCTGATATTTTCTCAGTTTTTTTTTTTTTTTAACATTCTTTATTTTCTATGTGCAAAGGTTAACTTGCTAGCTTAGAATGAGACATCAGCAAGATATATAAACCTGGAAACACTACGATTAGATTATCTGAGGTGTCCAGTATACTGCACTTTTTATGAAAATAAGATAACAACGCTTCTATAGTAAAGAAAACACCAAGTAAACTATTTACCGGACTAAAGATGCCTGCCAAGACTGGTGCATAAAATAAAAGGGGAAAAAAACAAAACAAAAACAAGGAAAACATAAAGTGCATATCAAGTATGAGCTATATTAAAGCATGTAAAACTTAAAAAAAAAAAAAAAAAAAGGGTGTAGACTAATAGCTCGGTCATATTATGTGACCTCACAAACTCAGTCCATTTATCCTATGCCTGTGCTTGTAAAGATGGTACAGTAGATTCCAGGCAGGTATGGAGCACAGTTAGTCTGCCACAATGCCGTATCACTCTTGAGCAGCAGCACTCCAGCCCAGGGCTGATCCTGGGGTCACTGATGTCTGGGTGCAATATATGGATATATCCCCAACTCCTCCCCTTCACAAAGATTCCACTTTTAACCACACCCATTTCCTATGGAAACCACTCTAACTATTTGGCCCTCTAACTTCACCAGGTAGCATGTGTCACCCACTTCCTACAGTGCCAGCTTTGCCCCCAAAAAGCATATAAGTGCCATCTTTGTGCTCAACTTCCCAGTGCCATCTCGGTCCCCATACAGCTATCTGTGTCCCAAAATAGCTAATCAGTGCCATCTTTGTCTCAGCATAACTAATCAGTGCCATTTGTATGCCCAAATAGCTTATTAGTGCCATCTTTGTGCCCGGAAACTTATTAGTGGCAGGATCAGATCCAGAACCTAATCTCAGCAGTGATACTGGTAGTGGGGTGATAGGGGCTGTAATTGAGGCATTTGGGGCTGTAGTAGGTGGCTAGGGGATGTAGTGGGGGACAGGGGCTGTAATGGGGAGGAAGGGACTGTAGTAGGATGGTTAGGAGCTATAGTGGAAGGTATGGGCTGTAATTGGAGGGATAGGGACTGTAGTAGGTGGGGTTCAGAACTGATTTGGGGGTGACTGCAAATGAAAAAAAGAGGCTGTAGTGGGGGATAGTGGCTGCAATTGTGGCAGAAGAGCTGTAGAGAGGGGTAGAAAAGGGGGAATAGGGCTGTACTGCTGGGAAATGTGCTGTTGGTGGGGTAGAGGCTGTAGTAGGGGAGTTAGGGGCTGTAGGGGCTGCAGTATGGATAGGAACTGACGTGGAGAAATAGGGGCTGCTGTTGGGACAAAGGGGTTTTAGTAGGGGGATTAGGGGCTGTAGTAGGGTATAAGAGCAGCAATTGGGGGTTGGGGGCTGTACTAGGGTATAGTGGCAGCAATTGGAGGTTAGGGGCAGTAATTGGGGGGTTATGAGCGTAGAGTGTAAGGGCTGTAGTATGGGTTGGTAGTACGGGGTTTAGGGGCTATAGTATGGATAGGTAAGAGGCTGTAGTTGGGTTAGGAGCTGTAGTAGTGGGTTTAGGAGTGTGGTGATCTTGCCCTCGCCACTAGCTCCTGGAGGAGCTTACTAGTTAACTGCCTGCTTCAGGGCTATGGACCCAGCTTAAAGACATTTGTTCATGGGATTCCCTGGGACTGTTAGGGAACCGGACCACCTCTGAGCTTATTGACACTTGTTAACCTCTCCTGAAACTTCCATCAGTGTGGGTTTGGGCGTCGATCGTGTGGAACTAAAATCAGACACAGAAACTCCCGAACACCGCTGAACACTTACGAACGCCTGCTTCTTCCCCACACATCAGGAGAGCGCCCTTCGGTAAGTTTGTTCGTATGAGCCATACGAACAAACGCTACCAATCAGCCAGAGTGTGTGTGCGCGTTATTTTGTTCGCATTGGAACTCCCGAAATTGACCGACACCACTGAATCCTTGGAACGGTTTTGGGTAGAAGCCTCATGTGTGGGCAGTCAGAACTTTACACCAGTGGTGTTTTGGCTGTGTTTGTGGGATCTGAGCGCTTTTCGGATATGTTGGGCGCTCAGATCCAGGCTATCTGGGGATGTATAGACTATGGGGGTTCCTATGTGGGAAATATGCATTTTTATGGTTTTTCATATTTGTACATTTATTGCTGAGTCACGATTGTCACGAATGCACACTACTCCAAGAGTGCACGTGACGTAGTTGTGGTGGTGAAAGGGTTAAAGTTCACTATTTGTCTGCACTAGACCGGAAATAATGACAAAATCCCCCTTTTAAAACCACCCACACTTAAACATAATATAACTATTACTATTTTAACGCTGCCACCACCAAGACAATTTATAAATGGGGTGCCTTGGTCCCCCAGGTAAATCAATAATAAAACCCACCAAATATTACTTAGTACAATATTTAAGTTATTGCAAAAATACTAACTAGTCTCTTCAGGTAACGTGATTCTTAACCAGACAAAGGCAAAACTTAATAAATGAATGTTTATTATGAGCAAAAGATAGTCACAGTGCATATAAAAATATATGATAAACAAATTATTTACACCAACAACAGATAAAAACAAAAAGGATAAAATACAGAAGTCCTAATTACTCACTTAGGTTTTCAAAGTACAACTTCTGTCCAGGGGGTCTCTGGCAAGGAAAGATGGTGACTCACTCAAAATTAGATCTTGGCCCCAAGCAAGTACACAAACACCCTTCAGGATCATTAGATATATACCCTGTGGTTTATCAAGTCTTGCCCAGGGGTGGAGTTAAGGCATACCTACAGTAATAATAACTGACCACCTCCTTTGTTCCAGACCACTGTCAATCCAAATGGAAACATTTGACTCTGTCTTCTTTTTTGTACCTGCCACAGAAATAATAATTGCATCTACAAATTTGTTATTATTTTCCCATTCCATAGACATGTTGCACGTCCCACCCACGATCCAATAGGACGGACATCACAATTCCTTTCCCTAGGGTCAAGTTAGGCCACTCATGTTTGGACTTGGTTAGAAGATGGCGCTTGTCACATTCCAAATATAACAAAAATGAGGCTTTATTATTATTCTGTGGGGGTAAATATGAATGTTTTTTTTGTCCTTCCTTTGGATATGATACTAGAACAAAGCTAATGGCATTTACATATCAAAGAGATTTACTCATCCCTTACAAGGTACATGCCAAATGGATGAAGAGACATTCAGACTTTTTCCAAGTGTAGAACCTCACACCTTGCAGAGCTTTTATTACTTCACATCCATATAGTAAAATCCTTTTCACATTCCTATGCCATTCACACTACCCCTTCTGTCATCTGACCTCTGTGGGGGTCCCAGCTTCAAAAGATGTAACCCCTGTTGACCTCAGCAATAGCATCTCTGTAATTTGTGCCATTTACTACACAAATTACATTAAAAGATGATATTCCATAGTGTAATAATAAATTATACACCCTTGCCGTGACAACGATAACAATGCATTTTTGTGGTTACATTGTGGCAGTGTTTTCGGCTAAAGATCTGCTTTACCATTGGTTGTACAATTTTGCGCCAATTTTAAATTAATTTTATACCTATATAAACCCTAACCAGCCAGGTTGAAATGTTTGTTAACCATTGATAAAGCCTTATACTGGCGAAACGCGTTTGGATATTTTTACTGTTTTATATACTGTTAATAAAAAGATTTTGGTCATTTTTACGTTTAAACCATCATCTATTTTGTTACCTGGCTTTTTATATAATTTTTTTTTTATATATACACGTTTTATATTCATTTTATACTATATACTTTTATTATTTTTAACTCCTGCATACTATACTCCAAAGAATCCTAGGTGGGGATTATACCACCTACGCTGTTACAAAGAGCAGTTAGCCTGCCCTATACTATCGCTGTTTTATCTTCTCTCCAAGCTCCTGATATTCTTGTCAAGATCACTCATCCTATATCCCACAAGCGGGGATGATACCGCTGTACGCCTAACCAACTAGAGCTAGTCAAAGCTCTACCGAATGTGAGTGTATCTATTATATTTTATAATTTTTACCATACCTGTGGAATATACTGCACCATTACTGTCTTCATTTTTATTTCCAACTTGGTTACCTGTCACTACAAAGAAGAGGACACTTGCCGCATATCCTGCAAGCGGGGATAATACCGCTGTAAGCCATTCACACCAGAGCTGGATTAAGCTCTGCTAATTGTAAGTAAGATCTCTTCTATTTTTACATATTTGGATTACTCTTCACGCCAGAGACACCTTCTGGATATCGCTAAAAGTAGAACTTTGGAAACGACAATATAGATCCTATGGGACTCCATACTATTATTTATTGAGCACATTGGCGCAGACCCATCACCCCATTTTTCCTGCTTTTACCATTTGATTCCCAGGGACATTAGAGGGAGTCCTTGTTTGGGACTGCTGCCTTCCTGATTAGCGCTGACTCCACCCCCTGTTCTGATATACATAGATAGATATAGTTAATTTCATTCTAAGTGTATTTTGATATAGATATATTAATATCAAAATACAGTTAGAATAAAATTATATATTTTTTAAAATTAATTTTTTCAAATTATTTTTTATAATATACACACACGTGTCATTTTACTCTAAGTGTGTGTGTGTATATATATATATATATATATATATATATATATATATATATATATATATATATATATATATATATATATATATATATATATACACATACACATACACACACACACACTTTTAAATGTATTAATTATATTTTTCTTTTTTAAAGCTTTATTTTTACTTTTTCACCAGCAGGGGACCTATGAAGATGACCTTAATGGAAAACAGGAGACCGGTTGCCTTAACAGAATGGATATCAGATGCACCACTGTAATGGATCCCATATACTCCGGCTGAGTATATCCGTTATGATTCTCTCAACTCTCAAGTGAAGCAGTAATTAGAGCTCTTGGTTACCTAAACATCAGCCAAGACTTTATGAAGGGTACAACAGGAATGACAGTTCAGGCAGTCCCCCTGCTGGCAACACTATGGACACCTATGGTGGCCATGTGACCGCTCTTTTAGAGTGGTCACATGGCCCCTGAGGGTCCTTTTTTTGCAAAGGGAGACTCTCTGGGCTCAGTCCAGAGAGTCCCCCCAAAGAAGACCGATTGCCAGCGGGGGAGCGCGGTTATCGGTATGTACATGGGAGAGAGGGTACAGGGTTAATTTTATTTAAATGTTATGTTTTTTCTTTACTATTTACTGAGTGCCTCAACCCCTAGAGGAACTCAGTACAGATAGAGCATCGGAAGCCTGCCTGATGGCTTCCGATGCTCTGTCTCACTGTGGAGAAGTGGGGGTAATCTCCGGTGGACCACAGCAGTGAGGGGGGTATTACAGCAATGCCTCAACATGAGGCATCGCTGTAATACCATTAGAGCTGTTGGAAGCGATCATGATCATGTAACAGCATATACATGTACAAAGTTTGCAGATGACACAAAACTTCGTAAAGTAATAAAATGTGAGCAGGATATTGCCTTGCTACAGAGGGATTTGAATAGATTGGGGGCTAAAATGGCAGATGAAATTTAACGTAGAGAAGTTATGCACTTCGGGGTTAAGAATGCACAAGCAATTTACACCCTAAATGGTAGTGAACTAGGGATAACCACACACGAGAAGGATTATCGTCTATCCAAAAATATTAAATCATTTTAAAAGATTATCCAAAAATATTAAATCAATGACAGATGCCTCAATTTTTTTGGATAAACTTTTAAAAAGACTTTTTCAACATAAAACATTTAAACATCAACATACATATCATGTAAAAAATATAGCAAAATATCAAAAGATATCAAAATATTACTAAATTAAAACATGTTTGATAATATTAAATAATTGGAAAAGCTAATCTAACAATATTAAATGGAGGCCAAAGTGCCAGTCAACTATTTCCCAGTCAAAGGTTTCTCTAGAGCTCCTGGCAATAGTAGCTACCAGATACAGCATAAAGATAAAGCTAGTCTCACATTAGAACCTATGACCCAGTCTAGGCAAAGGGAATTTTCTTTTTCCTGACTCCACTGTCCCCAAAAGAAAAATAGTTTTTTCATCCAAAAAAAAAATAAAATGTATTGGTAAAATAGTCTCACGCTCAGATCAGTAATAAAATGCCTACGAAGTGTAAATCTCCTATTTCCCACTCCTTTTTGCACCTCTATTTGTCACTTCACTTGTTCTGTGAATAAGATCAACATTTAATGTCTGTCCCCTAACCATCAATCATCTCTTTTTGCATGCTTTTGATTGGACAGTAGATCCAGTCCACATGATTGGACACACCTCTTGATCATCAAATAACGAAATAACGGAACGGAATAACGGAAAATAACGTCTTGATTTAATAAGCTTTCCAAAAGATTCAATACTGTTGGGAAACTTTCCAAATATGTTTTAACTGTTGGATAAGCTTTTTAAAAGGTGTAATATGTTTCCAAATATTAAAATATATAAAAAAATTATATTGTACTTTTTTATCATGCGCCAACACATTCCACAGTGCTGTACATGGGTACAATTGGTGCAATTAAAAAGACAGATGTAGAATATACCTGAGACAATACAAAAATTGACAAACAAATACAGGAGAAATTGAAGGCTTTTTTACTATCTAGATTGATAGGAAGGGTGAGAAAATGTGGTGGAGACTGTAAAGGTTAGGATTATGTTTATACAGAGATGAGGTTAAAGGGACACTATAGTCACCAGAACAACTACAGCTTATTGAATTTGTTCTGGTGAGTAGAATCATTACCTTCAGGCTTTTTGCTGTAAACACTGTCTTTTCAGAGAAAATGCAGTGTTTACATTACAGCCTAGTGAAAACTTCACTGGCCACTCCTCAGATGGCTGTTAGAAATCCTTCCTGGGTGATGGCTGCCTAAAATGCATACAAACATTCCGTATCCCCTCCCTCTGCATGAAGACACTCAACTTTCCTCATAGAGAATCATTTATTCAATTCATTTCTATGAGGAGATGCTGATTGGCCAGGGCTTTGTTTGAATCATGCTGGCTCTGCCCCTGATCTGCCTCTTTGTCAGTCTCAGCCAATCCTATGGGGAAGCATTGTGATGGCTACCAGCATGCAGAGTTACAGCTTCAGGCTTGAATACAGGGGGCTATATGGTGTTTTTAACCCAATAGGGTCAGGAATACACATTTGTGTTCCTGCCCCTATAGTGATCCTTTAAGTGGAATGTGTTAGTTACTAAATTGAGTGGTAGGCCTCTCTGAACAAGAATGTCTTTAGGGAGCGCTTAATGGAAGGTAAATTAGGAGAAAGTCTGACAGCAAGGATTGACCTTACATAAGAGAAGTCCTGCAATCTAGTATGAGAAGAGGTGTTGAAAGAAGATGCAATGAGCAGGTCATTAGATCTTGAAGCGGGCTGGAGCATATTTGTTTAGTGAGGACAGGTAGTGAAGAGCAGTGTTAGTACTTTGTAGGTCAGGGTGAGAATTTTGAATCTAATTCTGCTATAAATAGGGAGCCAGTGAAGGAACTCGCAGAGAGATGTAGCAAATACAGAATGACATGTAAGGTGGATTAGCCTGCCATAGACATTCAGGTTGGAATGAAGGGGTTAGAGGTGGAGGCTGTCAGGGATCTTACCTGGAGTGGGAGTTCAGCACGCAGAGTTAAAGCACCCTTTGCAAGTCGACACAGGCCGAGGGAACTCAAGACAGAAATCCCCAAGACTGTGACACAGTGCACTGGGGCTGAAATAACCAGTGTTTCCTGGAACGCAGTACAAACAAGGGATATCAAGAAGAGTAGTCTGTAACAGAATCAGAAGTCAGGACAGGCGGCAATCAGGCAAAAACAGTAGATGAGCAGGGGATCAAAACCAGGAGTCAGATGAATAGCAGTGAAACCAAACAGGAAACAAAATCTGACAACAAGAACCAGCCTAGCGGGGTTTAAATAGGGAGTCTCATCCAATCATCAGGGAACCAGGAACAGGTATGCAAATGTCCAGAACTAGAGATTCAGACAGCATAAACCCAAGAACTACATGAAAGGAACTAGAGATGCATGGAGTTGCGGGCAAGGTGCTTGAGTGGGATGCAGGAGACCCAGGTTCAAACCCAGCCAGACCCAAATACCCATAATTGGCGCATAGCATGCTGATCATCCTGACAGAGGCGATGAATGCCAGGTAGTGGATTTTGCAGTAGACGAGATGAGTCGACATTACACCTCCGGCAGCAATGTGTTATATTTATGTGTGTGGAATGTTTCTTACTAAAATGTTGCACAAACATACTCCAAATACCATGACCACTTCAAATCACTGACGGGATCATGATGTTTGGATTAACCCTTTAATCTAAACAATAAATGTCAAAGACGGCATTTCTGTTGTACCACGAACCAAGGATCTAGCCTGCATGCTTAGCATATAAATGGTTCATTTATATAATGTTATAAATGTAAATTAGGAAGGAGGATGAGTGGTGGTATAGCAATGAAATGCTTGTCAAATATGCTCCCAGCTCCTATGAGGAAATATTTACATAGTGTTCCAGTGTACCTTGTTCTTTCTTCCAATATGTGAGGCAGGATTTTGGCTCCTAGACTAGTTCTGTACATAATGTCAGGTTTTCCCTTGTCCACAAAGTCTTAGTTCCATGAAATGATTTTACATGGCATTCCCCACATATGTGATAAGTAATTTATGTAAATATTTGATGTCAAACAAGACATTTCTAGACTGTACGCTTGGCACACAAATGAGAAGTCATATATCAGAGTGGACATAGGGTGATTTAAAGGAAAATCTAAGGAGAGAGAGGAGTAGTCCTGAACTTAAAAGAGAACTATACAGAGAAATACAGTTGATAATCTTAAATGAGTCAAAGGTCAAACCTCTGAAGTGCACTGCAGTATGAAATGCACCAGGCTACAGTTTATGTGGATTAATTCTAGATATGTGCATGGGAAGAATTTCTGTTTCCTTTGGTTTTGGTTCTGTTGCTAATTTTGATTTACAGTTTAGCAGCAATTAGTTGACTATCGATTTCAGTTTCAACCAGAAATCTAATTTTCTTGTTAATGTAGCGATTTCAAGTTTGAACTGTTTATCCCAACGGGTATTGAATGAATTCAAAAGGTGACAGTTACAATAATCTTCTACAGGGAGAAATCTAACAGGCTTATACTAAAGTGAGAATTTATAATGAACTCAAAAAGAATGTCACATTTTATCCATGAGTAGCTGAAATGACAGCACAGCTAAACTTTTCCAGGTCAGCTATTTTGAACTTAATGGGACACTATGGTCATCAGAATCACTACAGTTTAATGTAGTGGTTATGGTCACTATAGCATGTTTCTGCAGTGTTGGTATTCTAAACACTTCCTTTTCAGAGAAAATACAGTGTTTACATTGCCTAATGCCTAATAACAATTCTGACAGTCACCAGAAGTGCTTCCTAGTCCAATGCTGCATAGAGTGCAGTAATGGCCTTCAGCATCTCCACGCTATGCATGATTCACTGCATCTCTATAAGGGGATGCTGGCTGGCACAGTGCTGCGAATTGAATGAGGCAGCGAGGCTCATCTTCCTGTACTCCGCACCTTCCAATAATAATAAATATAGATTACTCTGAAATACCAGCACTGGCCAGTAGGGGACCCTGTGTGTGGAGAGAGGAAGGGATAGGAAGCAACAACATATCCGTGCCACTCGCTAGTCACTGATCCACAGGGGAGTAGCTACACAGCAGAATCCAGACAGCAGCTCTCAGCCTGCAGAGACAGTCTACAGTTTAGGTAAGTGAGGGATGGGGGGAGACACTGGGAAACATAGGACACTGAGACACTAAGGACACAGTGTCCCCATGTCTCCCAGTCAGTGTCCCCATGTCGCCCAGTCAGTGTCCCCATGTATCCTAGAGACATGGGGACACAGACACTAGGGGACACTGGGAGACTTGAAAACCCAGAAACTAGGGGACACTGGGAGACTAGGGGATACATTGATACATTGTGATACATAGGGACACTGAGACATGAGAACACTGAGAGATTAGGGGACTGGGTGACTTGGGAAACACTTGGAGCAATCCATTCATACAGCAGAATCAAACTAAGTTTTTTGGTGATTTTACAGAATTTTTTCTTATGTCACTCCTTGTGATTTACATCATGCGATGTCATGCATACATAATTAATTATGCAAATGAAAATGGCCGGTATTTTTTTTCCAACTAATTAACTACTTTTCCCATACTCTTGCTTAAGTATGGAAATTTAAGAGGGATGTAGGGTCCTTAGAAAGCGTGGAGGGAGCTCATCATTAGACGCATTTATGTCAAGTTCAGGGTGCTGTCTGCATAGAAGGCCCTTAGTTGGCCAGCCAGCATGATTGGCATGCAGCCTGAAATGCATTCATGCCAGGCTGGCCTTCCAATTCTTTGACCAGACATGCCCCCTTTTTGGGAATGTTTGCCCCTTTCTGCAGTTTTGGTTACACACCCTTTTAGTCTGCCCATTGACTTTCGGCTTCACTGGACACTTCTGGTAGGGGGGATGGATTTACTTGAAAGATTAAAACATAAATTAGAGCGAGATTAACATAAGGTATGCGTTTCCTCATAGCTGCATCCTAGGAGTTTCCCTCCAGCACCATCTCCATCGATACATGTCACTTGGGAAGTATAACTGTTTTATTGTTTTTGGTCAATAAGATTCTGTAATTGGGCCCATCGTAACTGTCAGCACCTGGCCCAATGGGCTCTTAATCTGGCCCTCCGTACAGTGGTATAATCCCCATTTATGGGATATGTGAAGAGATTTATTTAGCCAGATGTCACCCTGAAGAGGTGGAGATTTAAAAAAAAAAAATCCTGGGTAAGGAAAAAAATTGTATTGGGTTTTTCTTTTAAAAAACATTGCCCCTGAAGGCCTAAATGAAGACTTTGACCTTTTTAACATGTTATAATATTAGTTTTTTTAAATACCTGTCTACTCTCTTTTTTGAAAAATATTATATCATTTTTACTTACATATTACATTCATTTTTACACCTTTCTTCCTTTTATAGATCCTTTTTATTATTTTACATCATAGAGACCACTAATTTAGCATTCTTATTTTATTTATTATACTCACATTTCAATGTTCATATGCCACTTAATTATACTTATTTTGTTTAGCTATATCTATTTACTTATCCTCACTTATAATTTATTTTTACCTTCCAAGATGGCCGCCACTATTTTATTTACCCTTTTTTTCCTTCTAAATATGGCCGTCCATTAGTCCTATCACATTGCATCTTTCATATCCTCCCATATTTCTGTCCCATCCCATTGTGGCTAATCACTTACT